AAAAATTTCTAAAAATATCTACCTAGAGGATTTTGGATGACGACCCAAATTCATTCGGCAAACAAGCTCATGAACCCAAAAAGAACCCCAGAGAATGTTTTCTTTATTTAGGCGAGAGGAATTGCAAGGATACAAAGTATCTATTGCAGATGTCCTCATCATCACCAGATAAACAATGCAATGAACAAAAATAAAATAAAATTAGATCTAAAATGGACTGGTGGCATTCACCGAAGTTTTTCTCTCCCAAAGACATCCATTTTTTATGTTTTTATTTTATTTTATTTGTGAGATTGTTTGCAAGCTTCTAGAGAATTTGAGCTTTTGGGGTCAAACAATCCTCCTAGATAGTTTTTTTTGGAGTTTTTGGGACATTAGCTAGTTTTATAGAAATTAGCCCATGGAAGTATGAAGTATTCCCCTTACATATTTACATGTACACACACGTGTGGACATGTACTTGTCTCCATCTTTGGCCCAGAAGTGCCCATTACTCCACAAGGATCCCCTGCTTCCCCCTTTTTCTTTAGCAAAGGTCCCATGTTCTCCCCACCTTCCCCTCCTAACATTGTCCATGAATACAGAAGTAGACCCATCTCTACATCACTATCCTGCCACCTTCTCTTCATGCAATCTTCTGCTCTCCATCTCCCATGGGCCTCAGTAATTGGTAGGCAACCAAGTGTATTTAGCCTCTTACTACCATCTTTCTAAGGGTGTACCATCTTTCTACATGGTAATATTTATGTGTGACAAATGGGTTAGGCTGGGATGGGTTGCAGTGCTTCCATACGCGGCTGAGAGAGAGTGAATAAAAGATTGAAACATGTGACTGCTCTCATGATCAGGGGTGGGTAGTCAAAAGATCATTGGCATGTTATATTTTCTAAATCCGTCTCAAAACTGAAGGTCATTTGGTGACTTTGTTAAACAAGTGGAAACTAAGTGGTCTGGAATGTGTACATTTCATTGGCTTAGGGTTTAAGAATTGGTTTAATAGCATGTGAGAAGTTGCTTCCAGGATTGTTCTGTACAATTGACCACAAATGACTGGTGTAACCTGCATATATTGGGGCCTAATTTGAATGTATGGTTTACATTTCAATTCGTTGAAAATATTTGATTTACATTTGAGATCGTAAGTTTGTGTTTTGGAAGTTATGATTTTTAAATATAAAATCCAGCATGCCATTGTTCTACAAAATGTGCTTCTGAATTTAAAATAGTTGCTCAGTTATTCGTGGCATTTCATGGATTTTACTATAGTCTTCTGGTTAATTTGAGAGAAGCTGTTCACAGAAAAGAACTTATACCTTTTTTCATAGATACCAAATATATTTGGCAAATTACAAGGATGCATCAATGGCAAAAAAAAAAAAGAAATTTATATGGAAGCAGAAAATGGAATACCAACCTATCCCTATGAAGTGTTTGTATGGGGATTTGTTCACATTGTTATGTCTCGACTTCTTAAGTGTCCACAACCCAATTCTCTCAAAAAAAAGAAAAGAAAAGGGTGTCCACAACTCAATCTAAGCTGGAAGTACTTGTTAAACGCTATGCTCTATGCTAGGACGAGTTCTAGGCAGTCCTACGATTAACAATATCTTTCAGTGGGAGCAGGGGTGGGCACATGTTTGTAATATGTGGAAAGTATGTGAAGCTTTCCATGTAGAATGTGTCTGCAATATGTGGGAAGCTTTGTGGTCTTTATGGAGTTATAAGCATGTGAAGCATGGGATCTTAGATTCTTGTTGGAGTGTTTCAATGGATTTCCATACCAAATTGTGTACTTGATGAGTTGAAGGTATTTGGGTACTTTCACTACTAATAGGTGGCTGGATGATATGGAACTCCTGTAATGTTAAGATGACCTATTACCATTAGAGCTTTTCTTTATTTAATCACTTACATCAGTTGCTAGTGGCTGGATGAAAGGCTATGTTAGTGCTTTTGCCATGCTTTCCCTTTTTCTGTTGCTGCATTGATGATAGTGGTAGTACTAGTTGGTTGGACAGGATGCAAATGTTTTTCGATCTGGTGATCATCAGGTGAATTGCGAACTAGCAGGCCCTTCTGTGGAAATTCCATGTGGCCTATTGGCTAAATTATGACATAGTACATTAAATCCCATGAATTGAGTAGGCGAGTAGTTTACTTTTCATATAAAGGAAGATTGTTGGTTGCAATGACAGATGGATGATTGGTTTTGATTTTTTTCTGCATTTGGATTCCTTTGAAATCCACAGTCAACTGGATGAGAATGCGAGATGGAGTAGGACTTTTAATTTTTTTATTTTTGGTATTTAGGTGTCTTACTTCCGCTGTCAAATTTATCATGCTGTCTTTGATATTTCTAGTGGGGCGTAGATGGCATGTTCGATTGTTGCATGACTGGAAGAGTGGAAAATGTTAATGAAGTTCCCAGGTTTCTTGGACTATGGGGATTAAATGTACTATACCACAATGCTATCTAGGTGGCTAGGTTTTTCTAAGGTGTATTTGGTTGTTTGAGGAGAGACTTGTTGGAATTGATTTTGGTTTATGCGAATGACTGTGATATGTATTCTGTATATGTAATTATTATTTCAGAAGCTTTATAGGTACTGATACTCCTAAGGGGAGGTTTTGATAGCGGGCATGTCATCTTTGACAGTCGATTTTAATTGGTGTTGTGGGACGTGCTGGTGGAATTGCGTAATGGGGTTTGTACATGACAAGTTATATCTGGGCCTGGATGTATTTCGGTGACCACTTCAGGTTAGTGGCATTTATTGGTTTTGGGGAATCACTGTAGGGGTGAGTTCTAGGTTGTAATCATAGGGTGAATATGATGGCCTTTACTTTTTCCCTTGTTCTCAGATGTGAAGGGAGCCCATTGGGAAGGTTTTCTTTGCTTTGCTAGTTTGGTTTGTGTAAAGACATTAGATTTCTTTCAATCGCCTCTTTGTCTAGATTTGAATTTGTAACCTGTAGCACTGGCGAAAGTGTCTTTGATTAAAAGCTATTTTAATTTCATGACTAAGCAAATTAACATTATACTTGGAAAAACATTTTTAATAGGCATTAGATGTATTGCTTCTCCCAATGTAAAGATTATCAACCATAGTGCTGTAAAACCCCATGGGATCTGATTAGAATTGCAAGATAGTATTTGTGTAATGGGTTTCTTCTTGGGTTTCTTCAAACTTACTTTCCAGTGTTAGATTTTGTCATAAATTAACCATTCATAGGTGGGTGGATTTTCAGATCTTGTTACTGATAAGTTACACCCAGAAATTTGTTGTCCAATCCCTCTACCATAAATAAGAAAAATGGATGAATGACAAATAATTGCAAATTCTCTATCATGAGGGTATTCACGAACTTAGTAGAGTTGTTTTGTGTTTATTTTCATTAGGTGAACAGCCTACCTATTGATAGTTCTGAGACCTTTAATTCCCAATTTTCACATTCATTTACTTCATTTGATCAGCATCTAGCCTTAAGTTTGATTACCAGGACAAGTGAAATTTAAAGATACCATGGTATTGTTCTCTGAGTTTTGGAGTCAATCTAACATTGTCATACTTTTTCTTGTTGCAGATGATGTTTTATTTTTTGGATCGCCTCATAAATCTGGGGCTTCCTAGGACACGAGATTTTCAGGGTTTGAATCCCAACAGCTTTGATGGTCATGGGAACTTCAGCATTGGATTGCGTGAACAGAGTGTGTTTCCTGAAATTGCGTATGATGCAATTGGTAAGCCCAGGGGCATGGATATTTGCATAACCACGACTGCAAAGACTGATAATGAAGCTCAAAAACTGCTTGCTCTTCTTGGGATGCCGTTGCGTGAAAGTGGACCTACCACACCATTAGTTCGCAAAAAGAAGAAAAAGGCACATCACTTCGACTCAAAATCAAAATTACGAGGCAAAAAGTGATCCTCTTATCAGTTTCTTTCACTTTCCCATTTGGCTTATTTCTTGTAGCGTGTTGCCGATTTTGTTTGATGCTATTTATTTTGGATTAAATGCATGGAGGCTGGCTAGGAGAGCTTATTTGTACAAGTACCTCTGCGTTGTATCTTTTATGTGCTTCTTAATTACTTTCTTGTTGTACATTATGGTAAAACTTTCACAGAAGAGTCCCCATTTTCAGAATGTACTAGGGTTTTCTACCCCACTACTTAGCACCTCTTTAACCCATATGGGATCTTTGTGTTGGGTATATGCCTTCTTCATTGCTGTAATGCTGTTTTTTAAGCAAAGTTAATACCAGTGGGAGGGTAATTCGTCAACTTTCTGAATGCTGGGGTGGTGCTTTGTATCTCCCATTCTTTCCTGAAAACCAGTCAGAATTGTATATTTACTGCAAAATCTGCTGAAACCAGCGGTGCATTGGAATTACTCCCCTATCATGCTGTACGTGTGTAGCTGGATTTGAAGTAATGGTTGATGCTCTGAATGATGGATGCTGGGGTCCAAGGAAAATGGCGAACAAAAACTCATTGACGCTTTGTCAATGAACTTTACTTTTACTTCATTTTATTCTTATCTGTAGGTGAAGTTTCACTCATGCAAGGAAAATGGCGAACAAAAACTCATTGACGCTTTGTCAATGAACTTTACTTTTACTTCATTTTATTCTTATTTGTAGATGAAGTTTTACTCATGCTTATTGCTTAAAAACTTCTCAGGTTTCTTTTGTTTTTCCAAAGATTTTATTTCTATTTTTGTTTTCTTAAGATTTAATTCTCCATTTTCTTAAAAATATAGTATCTTGAAAGGCTTATATCTTATATGTGACTGCATAATTGTTTCAGCTTTAAGGCTGTAATTTTTACAGCTTAAGGGAACTAGGTACACAGCAAACAAACGGGGATGCCCTAATCTCCTTTGAGTGTTTCCAGTTCCTCCCCAAAACCTGGGGTAGAGTATGAGATACCCTTATAAAGGCACGTCTGCCAACAGGGATTGGGAAATCCTGAAATGCCATCCCAAGCGTGTCTTGTAGCAGGCCTAAGGGGGATTAGGAATCCCATCCCCTATCCCCCAGGACCCTAGGATTCCAATTGAGGTGGTGATCCGTGATCGCGTCAGTGCCCCCTCTCTTGTTCAGAGGGATCGGCGCATGTGGGGAGACCGGCTGAACCCTCCACCTTACTCCCTCATTGAACCTTCCCACCTTGTGCCAGCTTATCTGTAATAGTTGTCTATATCTCATGGATCCAAAACTAGAGCTTGCCATGAAAATCTATGCAAAAAAATTATGATTTTTCGCTGTGAAATGGTTGTCTCCAAACCGTTAACCTCTCAACCCGAACTCGAAAACACTCTAAAACTAGACATTAATCAAAGCTTGGCATTTGGGTTTGCAGTTTCCTGTAGTTTTGATGCTAACTTTTTTGATGAAATTGCCGTAAAGTTGCAAATCAGCGCGATCAGTAAAAATTGATCCCATTAGGGTGCGGTTTGTATAGAGCCGAGGCTCTAAACAATCAAAGTAAAGTGCACCTTCAAATAGTGTCGAGAAATGTGGTTGCAATACAAGAAAATCTTTGTGATAGCTTTAAAATATATTTTCATCTTTAATTATAGAATTTAAAGCTTAAAAAATAGTGTAGATGATCTATAAAAACTTGATAATCATGAAAATTGACAGTCCAAAAATGCGTTACAAACTGAAGTACTTTCAAAACTTGAATCTATTTTTTTTCTCCCGTCTCTAATTTGATTGTTTAGAGCCTTGGCTCCGTATTAACTTTTCCTTATAAGATTGTGGTGTACATGTTAGGCTGTCGGTTTATAATTGAAAGCAATCAGTTAATACACGACAATGTAACTGAGAGTTTAACATTTTCTGACAAATGGTTTGAGTAATATCATACATCTCCTCAATAGAAGTACTAGAAAAATTTGTCCTTGTACAACATGGTATACACATGAGGCGTAGGTGGAAGGAGAATTCCATTCGTTTGCTTTGAACAATGAACATCAAGATTTAGAGAGAGATTTTCTTTGGTTGAGGAATATCAGGATTTGTTAGGAGTCAAAAGATTTAATTTCACCGAGGGAGCATATTGCCTATATACTCCCTTGGGGCAAAACCCAAAAAAAAAAAACAAAAAAAAAAACGGTCAAAGGTGCATTCACTATGGGCTCGAAAAGAAAAAACCACCTCAAGATTGAAGTGAAACCTTCCAACTTATGGGTGCGATCTAAGTGGTAAAAAACTCAAAATTCAAATTTTCATTTTTAATATAAGAATCTAATGATTTTACGTCGTTCCCCTAATTTTGGGTCAAATTTTTTTTTCAAGTTAGTTCTGCTAGAGGGAGTAAGTGTACACTATGCTCCACTGCTCGTATTAGAATCATGTATTTGGGCCTAAGCTCATAACCTCGCCCCCAATTGCACAAGTAGGTACACACATCACTTACTGAGGGGGAGAGAGGTTTATAAATATCTTAACCATTGGCAATATATATTAGATATTTTTACTAGAGAAACAATCTATTCCATCTCTTGTATAATTCAAGGGCCACAATGATTAAGGGAAATATGGTGCTTAGAAATTTTAACAAATCTTAGGAAAATTTGGGTTTTTAGGAATCTGAACAAATCTATCGTTCTTAGGAATTTTAAAAAATCTTAGAAAAATTTTGGTTCTTAGGAATCTAACAAATTTATTTCATACCTCGTCCATGTTTCCTTATCTGAAGCAAGTTTGAGAAGCTTTTCATAGAAATAATTCGAAACTGCTGATGCTAAACCAATGTTGTTGTTTACAACCGGAAGATCTCGAATGAGATTTGCTCTGATTTATGTTTTAAACTAAGGGCCCGTTTGGTTCATCAGATTCTGGGCTCACATTTCTAGAATTTGTGCCAAAAAATTATGTTTGGATGTATTTTAATGAAGGGATTCACATTTCTGCCGGTATTCACTTTTCCACCTTTCAAGCCAAGTAGCTGGAGATGTTAATTCCCACTGAAATAGGTGGAATTCATATTTCTGGGAAACGATGGACATAAAACTTTTGCAGTAAGTTGTTTTGAACAAAATTTTTGAAGTCCGCCTAAAAGAGAAACAAAATGATTCTTACTCACCTGTGCGTGAAACCCTTGCTATAATATATAAATAACATTTTACATAAATAATATATTATTTTATATTATATATTATTAATATATATTTAGATTATATTATATTATGTATTAAATTTATGGTAAACACTACAAAACGTCTTTAAGTGAAGTTCTATAATACTTCACCGGCACTTCATCATTGTCCAAAGTTCATCACACGATTACGGTCGTCTAGTAGTATTTAAATTTTAATCATTATTTTACAAATCAGATTTATTTAAAATTTGGGACGTGTGTACATATGACCAATTCGTTTCAAAATAAAATATTAAAAAAATAATATTTATAAAATGAAATAACAAAAATACCCCTGAAAATTTATAGGGGTATTTTAGGTCATTTGTATCATCTAAATTACTTGTTTTATATTTTATACAGGTGCGTCTCACTAAGCCGCATGCACCTACAAAACTTCTGATCAATATTATTTGTAAAACAAATATTAAAATTCAAATACTATCAAACATATGTGGCTGTGTGATGAACTTTGGACGGTGACAAAACCGTAGATGAAGTACTGTCGAACTTTACCTATAGGCGTTTTGTAGTGTTTTCCATATATTTGTATTATATCATATCATCTCATCATCATAGCCAGTTTCTAATTAATTAGGGTTAGCTACATGAATCCTGATTTGCCATTCTGCTCTAGTAAAGACCACACCTTTAGTGAGGCCATAAGTCCCCATATTTTTTTGGACAGCTTCCAACCATTTCCTTTTGGGCTTACCCCTTTCCCTTTTCAGTCATTCCACTTGAACTAATTTGCACCTTTTAATAGGTGCTACATTTGGTCGGCGCCACATATGGCCAGCCAACCTAGTCTGCGTTCTCTCTTCTTATCGTTTATTGGTGCTACACTTAAATTCTCTCAGATGGATTCATTTTGAATTCTATCCCTTCTTTTCTTGCCACTTATCCATCTCAACATCCTCAACTCCACTACACTCATTTTATGGGTATTTTATTTTTTGTCCTCCCAACATTCTGCCCCATAGAGCAAAGCTGATCTCACAACGATCATATAAATTTTGCGCTTCAGCTTTATTGATACGCAATGATCACATAAAATTTCAGTTGTACATATCCACTTTACCCACCTAACTCTAATTCTATGCGTGACGTCTTCCTCAATCTCTCCATTTTCCTAGGTTATCGACTGAAGATATCAAAAGTTGTGGTCTTTTTTGTACTTCATATCCATCAATCTTAACTATTTTCTCATCTCTACTTTTGTTATTAATGAACTTGTGTTCCATATACTCTGCTTTAATCCATCTAATTTTAAAATATTTGGATTCTAGATTATCCCTCCAAAATACTGACTTTGTGTTGACGACGTTTCGAGTTTGATTGATCAAAACTATGTCACCTGCGAACAACGTGCATCGTTGTACCTCATCATGTATGTGTCTAGTTAAGTCATACATAACTAAGATAATGACGTATATGCTCAATGTAGACCTATTGTAATTGAAAACTCACTCGTCTCTCTACTAATTATTCGTACACTAGTTAGTGCTCCATTGTACATATCTCTTACCAAGTTAATGTAGTGTTTGGAGACTTGTTTTTTTTTCAGCACCCACCAAATCAAATCTCAAAGTACTCTATCATAAGCTTTTTCTAGATCAATAAAGACCATGTGTATGTATTTTCTCTTCACTCTAAACTTCTCAATCAATTGCTTAAGTAGAAAAATAGTCTCAGTTGTTGACGTTCTTGGCATAAAACTAAATTGATTATCAGATACATTTATTGCATGCCTTAGTCGTTGCTCAAGCACTCACTCCTAAAGCTTCATAGTATGGCTTATAAGCATGATCACTCCATAGTTCGCACGATTTTGTATGTCTCATTTGTTCTAGTAAATAAGTACCACAATACTTATCCTCCATTCGTCTGATATTTTCTTTGTTATCAATACCTTGTTGAACAACTTCATCAACGAGTCAATGCCAATCTCCTCCATGCACTTCCAAATCACTTATAATTTTAGACGTTCATTATTCTCATCAAGACACACCTAATAAACTCCTAATAAACACAGGAAACTGCCACGACTCATTTTCACCCATGGGAGAAAATATTTAAACTACTAAATTAGAAGTGCCAGTTTTTAACAACTTCTAATTCTTATGGGCGAAAAAATTGTTCTTTTTCACCCATAGGCATTCCATAGCTGGGCAACTAGAATGAATAATAATATAGGTGGAATAGAAGCCGTCAAATCTTCATTATATGTTCAGAATGCATATTACTATATGAATTTTAATCTTTTTTTTTTTTTCTAAAAATTGAATCACAATGAAATTTTAGACATATGTATTAAAAAATAGGTCGGACAATTAAAAAATATATAAAAAATATTTCTCAATATATAAAATGATCGAAATACCCCTAAAAAATGATGGAGGGTAATTTGGCCATTTTAAATTATTGAAAATGCTTTTTTTTTTTATATATTTATATGGTACGCAATAGTGTTAGGTATATACACCCAAAATTTCATCTTAATCAGATTTATATAAAAAAAATTAAAATTCATATACGGATATATATTCTAAACCACATGATGATGATGTAACGACTGAGATTCTACCTATGTTACCATTTATTATAGCGGTTTTTATAAGGTTGCAACCTTAAACAATCCAATTAAGGCATACCTTAAAATTTTATCATAACATGTAATTTTATTGTAAAAAATTGTTAGTATTATCTTAAAATCTATTTCCATACCTAATTAGAAAAATTAAAATTCCAAAAATAATTAAAATCAAGTAGATCTATAAATATAAGAAAAATCTTGAAAATGGACGGTCTAGATAATATGTTGCAAGATGCACTATTTTCGGGACTCAAAAACTGTTTTTTTTTTTTTTCATATTATACATTTCAATGTTGAGATGATCGATTAGAGGGTTTTTTTCAACATTAAAACAACATTTTCGATAGATTTTTGAGATGCATATCTGATTCTACATTTTAATGTTACAACTTTATATAAACTTTCCCATATATATATATATATATATACAAAAGAATTGTCTAGAAAGAGACCATTTATCTTTATCTTTGTATATAGAGGTCACAATCATTCTTGTCCCTTAAATTTTTAAAATGGATAGTTGTAAGAATATCATTGAATGGATACAAAGTTTCAATTTTTTTTTTTTAACTCCGTGGCTTACCCCAAGCCATCTAAATTGACATCTTATGAGTGAGAATAATTGTAACGTCTATTAAATTGGCTCATTTTTTTTGGAAGCGGTTAGCATGCAGGCCACTGACTCACCTGTAGAAATGCGGGCACCTTAATAATATATTTTTAAAATAAAATTTGATCTTAATTTTTAGATAATATATAATATTTAAGATGGAGATTATTAATTTGTAAAAATAAATAAAATTTAAAAATTAAAAATAATATGTTTTTAGAGAAAACATTTGAACCGTTCAATTTTTTTTGGGGACTGTTACTTAAAAGGACTTTGATTTTCTCTGTGCCCGTCTCGCAGCTGATATTTTGAGCTCCTCTCTCTCTCCTGATATTTTAGGCCTTCTCTCTTTCTGGAAAATCATGTCGTCCCATTACAGTCTCTCACTCTCCATCTGCATTCCTCTCACTTAACAACTCTCTGTTCGTCGCTGTATTTCTCTGCCCGGCCCCACGACATTCTTCTCTCTCTGTCTCAATGATCACTTTGAGGCAGGCGTCCAGCACCCTTACACCACCAATTAACCCCCTCCTCCAAATCTCCAACAAAACAACTCCAAGACCAAGCAGGAGGAGGAGACCGCACTCGCCCTGCCGAGCCGTCCTCCAGTGGAGCCGCAAGCCCGAACTGTCGGGGGAGACTCCTCGCGTGGTGGTGGTGACCTCCGGGAAGGGCGGCGTGGGGAAGACGACGACCACTGCCAACATATCCCTCTCCCTTGCCCGCCTTGGCTTCAAGGTGGTTGCCCTGGACGCGGACGTTGGCCTGCGCAACCTTGACCTTCTCCTCGGACTCGAGAACCGCGTCAACTACACTGCCCTGGATGTCCTCCATGGTGACTGTCGCCTGGACCAGGCCCTCGTTAAGGACAAGCGGTGGCCCAATTTCCACCTACTCTGCATCTCCAAGCCTCGCTACAAAATCCCCTTGGCATTTGGCTCAAAAACCCTAATTTGGCTGGTCGATGCCCTGAAATCGAATGACCCACCCCCGGACTTCATCCTCATTGACTGTCCGGCTGGTATCGATGCGGGCTTTGTGACGGCGATTGCCCCTGCGAACGAGGCAATTCTGGTGACTACCCCTGATATCACGAGCCTCAGAGATGCTGATCGTGTGACGGGGTTGCTGGAGTGTGATGGGATCAATGATATAAAGATGTTGGTGAACAGGGTGAGGACTGACCTGATAAGGGGGGAGGATATGATGTCGGTTTTGGACGTGCAGGAGATGTTAGGGTTGGCGTTGTTGGGGGTCATACCCGAGGATGCGGAGGTGATACGAAGCAGTAACAGGGGGTATCCTTTGGTGTTGAATAAGCCCCCCACCATTGCAGGGCTTGCGTTGGAGCAAGCGGCATGGAGGCTTGTGGAGCAGGATACCATGAATGCCGTGGCTGTCGAAGAGGAAGAGCCAAGGCGCAAAGGCTTCTTCTCATTCTTTGGGGGCTGAATTTTGATGCCTTTGCTACTTCCGCTCTCATCCAAATAAGCCTCCTGTGCTTCTTTTTGCTCTCCATCTCTCTCTTTCTCTCTCTCTCCCTCCCTCAATCAGGCTACTGCTTGTGCTTTTTCCTAATTTGGATGTTCCTCTTCTTTCTTTATGATCTCTCTCTCTCTCTCTCTTCATTCTACCAGCTGTTTCTTTCTCTTTGTTCTTAGTTCGGGTTGCGATTGTACTCTGTTTTGTGGGATGTTTGCAGGAGTTGGTCAGGTTAGTTTTCCTTCTTGAGATTTTGTTTGGAATTCCTTGGAGGATGCTTGCTGCCTTAAGAATTGAAGAATCATTGGTTTTGGTGTCTCATCTCTTTTCCATTTTTTTTCTTCTTTCTTTCTTTCTTTCTTTTTTTTCGTCAGGACTATGAGCTTAAGATTTCACCATTGCAGCTTGGAAATCCATGCTTCACTGCTTCCAAGTTTGTGGGTTTTTGACTTTCGAATGTGTAAATGTTTTCTTTGCAGTGTTGTATATTAGCAATTATGACAGCTAAAGATGGCTTTTTACTGATATTTTAGTTGTTCAAAATTTGGAATCACATGATTGCAAGACAGAATTACTGTTGGAATTATTTTTTGTTCTCATTTGCTTGCGAGCTTTTTCTTTCTGAATTTAATTGCAATTGCGGTGGAATTTTGATGCCAGTGAATTTCCTTTCCTTATTTGGGTTGGCAAAGGAAGAAAAATTGAGCCACTCTAATTACCAAAAAGTTCGAATTGACAGCTAATAACATTGATTCCATTGGCATTGACATAATAGGAATATTTCCTCGATTAAGGAGGATTCGCCGAATACTGAGAAAAGGTTGGTTCTGTTCCATTGCTATTATTGTGCAGGGGGTGCATGCATGGCGGAACCGTGCTTATTTAATGTGAAACTCTTACCTTTTCTCTAAGAGAAAGAATGCTAAATGCCATTGTGTCGGATTTTAGACATCACTAGTTTATTTGCATATAATGAATTGCAATGACTTGTGGTACATCTGGATATATCTGCAGTTATCATGCTCATGGTTAGTTATAGAAGATTTAACATCAATGTCTGCACAATTGGGCAAGTATAAATCTGGATGATTGGATGCTAGATGCATTGAAATTATTTTGTTCATGGTTTCTTCTTTTATGGCTGTAAGCGTCGTAGATGGTCCATTTGATTAGTTGTTGCTCATTTAGCATTGGTGCGTCTCATTACCTTGATGTGTGGTTTGTGAAACTGCAATCTCATTATTATTTTTCTGACCATTCCTTCAGCAATGAGGATCCAGTCCTTACTGTTATACTCTTATCTGCAGTTTATCTGGGAATTATTATTTACTATTCAGTTCAGTTTCAGAAGCCATTTTCTAGTCTTGATATTGTAAAATAGACTAGTAGTCTATCTATAGTTATCATGCACTAGTAGTCTATCTATAGTTATCATGCATATGCTGGTAATAGAAGCTTTGACATCAATGTTTGCACAACATGGGCTTGTTTGCTTTTTTTCCTGACCTTTCCTTCATCAATAAGCAACCGGTCCTTGACTTTCCTTATCGTCATACTCTTATCAACCATTCACATGTTCGATTTTGATATAGGTCTACACTGTCAAGATCTTTGATCCTTCTCTTCGTGCACTTGCTGACATCATCACTGATTTAAAAAACAGTACATGCTGATGTCAGCATAACCTCTCTCAAATCAGGAAAGAAGGCTGGTCACCATGTATGATTTTTTGGATTTTTCTGATGACGACAACAACTGAAACCGCTTGGATATCTACCATTTTCAAAGAGGGCTTCACTTAGTTTTGTCATGAAATGTTGGACTTCTTTATGGAAGAAGTTGGCTACGTATACACGTTATGATCATCCAGTAGTGAGTCTGATACTCTCATCAACCACATATGTGTGCCACATTGCCGGCATTGCACCACAAGTAGTGAGCCCACATATGCGCTTTGTGCTCATGGGTGGAAAATAAACCCACGAGCTTGGGTAAAATTATCTTGTCCGCGCCTCCCTCCCCCCCCGGGCAAAAAAAACAACGGAGGAATGGTTTGGGGGGTATATGCCCCATCCCCAAAAAGAAAAGGAAAAAAAAGAAAAGAAAAAACACATTAGAACCATTATACATGATTCTAAGGTGATTAAAAGCCAAAACTTCCCAACTTTTCAATTTTTTTCATAAATCTAAAGTTTTTGAATAAATTAAGAGATTTTTTTACTATTCCTTGAGATTGTTTTGGGCATTCTTCGTAAAACATTTAGGCATTATTTGGAAGGTATTCGGGCAAAGATTTTACTAATTAATCGAAGGTTTTCAAAGGCCGAGAAGAAATTGAAATTTCTTTGGGTTTTTGGTAAGTTTTCTTAGTTCCTAATACTTTTTTTTTTGGGGGGGCAATGTCGTCATCATCTTCAAGCTACAATGCTTGGAAATATGCTAAACTCAAAAACCCTGAGGATTGAAATTGCATTATTTGTACTCTATTTTGGGATAATTGTATTTGGCATATTATCTGGCAAAAGGAACATTTAATCGGTATTACTGGGAATGTTAAAGCATATCACAAAAGAGGGAAAAAGAAAATAGAGAAAAAACATAAATCCCAAGAAAAAGCAAAAGAAAAAAAAAACAAAATTGGACAAAAAGACTTGAAAGAAGAATTCAAGTATTTGATGACTTGTCAGATTAAGAGTCAAGAGTTGATTATCCATTTCTTTTATGTGTCATAAGTATTTGTTCTTTGAGGTTTAAAATTTGGAATTTTGATATTTATGTGAGATTGAATGGATTGCTTTGTTTTACATGTTAATTGTATTAAATATTTAAACTACTAAAATTAGAAGCTGTAACAATAAACTCTATTATCAGGCTATCAAGGAACTCAGAATCTTAGCTAATATATTGTAGATATTGAATAAATTTAAAAACATACTATCACGTAAATCACATGTTTCTATTTTTCTATGCATTATTATTTTTTAAAATTCTTTTATTAGCTGCACTAGAGGTGATTCACCCCCATCGGGACCGCATCCAGCTGCATTGGACCCCCAACCACCTCGGGTCCGTGTCCCGTGTTTTGAAAAATTGTTTCATACAATCATTGAATTTGATGAAATATTGAATGATATCCACGTGATGAATCCCTATTGTAAATAATTTCAGCTTTTTTTATATTAGGTTTCGAGTTTTCTTCATCTTCAAAAACTTGTCTTTGCACATGTAGATTAAGAGAGTTACCTGGATGATAGGTGACCTGACCTAGTAGTACTTTTTCTTTTGCCTCATACACTTGTTCATTTTGATATTTCTAGTTTTCTGGAGGCTTACCTCTTTGAAGATCAAGAAGCAACAATAGATCTTTTATTTAGTGAAGAACTTAGTTGCAGGTTACTCCCTTTTCGTATGGCATTACCTCTCCTAATGTTCATTTGAGGAGAGGAATCTCCAAGGGAGCCTATTCCCCTGTTGTTTGGAATGCATTCTCAACTACTTAAGAACTTTCTTGGCTTTGGGGACTTGTTCCACTCCCTATTGTTGACACATTATGTCTCTTATGAAAGCAGTTCATTTATTTTTAGCTAAAAGAATGTCCTTCTTGCTATTGTAAAATGTTTTCTTTAACTTTGAAAAGGTTGGGTGGCCGCTCTCCTTTCTCAATTATGTTGTTACAGAGATTAGTTGTTTCCTGTTAAAAAGGGAACTTAGGGTTTGCCTCTCCCCATTGTTGCATTTAATTTGGGGGGCAACAGGCCAACCTCTGGTACAGTATTCTGCTAACATCCGTAACCCCCAGATAAGGACATGAGCCTATTGTGACCCCAAGGCCCCACTTTGTGGGATTGGGGCTGGCCAGCTCCTATCCTTCTGTGAAAGGAATCATTAAGGTGGAAGGAGCTAGAACATTACGTGAAAAAAAAAAGATGTCATATTGTAAAACTTTATGGATGCTTATCTCTTCAAAGAATTAGTCTTTTTTTGGAAGAAATGATGATTTTACTTGCTGTTCAAAGTGTACTTTATGGATTAGCCTAGTTCGCATGCGATTGGGTGGGAGATGAGGAAGAAGCAAGTCCTTATAGCGGTACCATTAAAGATTTGTAAACTTTGAATTTTCAAAAGGATTGGACCTGAGGACATGGGTGTTTCCCAGGCAGCAGGCTCAATTACTATCGGCATGAAATTGCCTTCTTATCTCAATTGAATGCTTGAGTGATTCTGGGGCAGAATATTGTAAGAAATCAGTAGAGATGTCTGAGTAACCACTACCTTATTGAGTTCACTTCTTGAATCACCATGGGGATGTGTTCGCTAGCACCTAGGCAACATGTTCCTGCTTGGGAGCATGTCCTATGTCTTCTTGGGAACTTAGTATCTCATTTTAGGGAAGAGCCCCTTTCTTTCGTTTGGCAGATTCCATTATGGGACATACATCCCCATCAAATGGGAACCACATTTCTCTTGAAGTAAAGTGGTTACGTACTCCATGTTAGGCTTGCAGCCATCTTTAAAATTAAACGAATTGAGCCCTCTCTCCACTTAGCAGCCCCCTTCACAATTTTTCAATGTGTCCCCTGGAAGATCGCTTAATTGAGGCACCTACCACCTTGCATTGTCACTCTGCTCTTTGCTCGCTGTCTGGGAGCTCCACTCATGACCACTATCACTCGACAACCCAATCTATTCCATCCTCAAAAGATGGAGGTTAGACTCCTTTTCTCAAGCAAGAATGTTGTCAACAATCAAAAAGAAAGGAAGGCTATTTTATCTAGGTCTTTGATTTAGGAATTTTTAGGGCTCTTTAATCAGTAATGAAGCTATGGTTTTATAGCCTATGTGGTCTTTTTGATGTCCAGGGGCTAACTTGAATTTGGCCTTAGGGAGAGGAGAGTTGAGAGCCCCTCTTCCCTCTTGTAGTTTCGTTCACATATGAGTCCGAATAGCTACTAAGATAGCACAAATGATGTGGTTTGTACAAGGTTGAGGCCCTAAACAATAAAAGTAAGGCGTACCTCTAACTATTGTCAAAATATGATTTTTAAGTAGAAAAAATCTTTGTGATAGCCTGAATTTATATTTTTATCTAATTATAAAATTTAAATTTTCAAAAATAGTGTAGATGCAGCAGATCTATAAACAATTGAAAATTGACGGACTAGATAATTTATTACTTAAAAAATCTTTGTGATAGCCTGAATATATATTTTTATCTAATTATAAAAATTTAAATTTTCAAAAATAGTGTAGATGGAGCAGATCTATAAACAATTGGAAATTGACGGACTAGATAATGCATTAAAAGATGAACTATTTCCCATACTTGAAATCCATTTTTCTTCACAGCTACACATTTCGAGGTTGAGTTGATCGGTCTGGGGCTTTTTTGACATTGAAACAAGCTCTTCTAGTGAATTTTCGAAGGTGCGCCTTAATTTGGTTGTTTATGGCCTAAACCTTTTATAGAATTTTATACATATTTTAATGAATTGTGTTTTCTGTTTGAAGTCTGGCTTATGCTAACATTCACCGTTCCGTTTAGTAGTACTTCAATAAGGCTCCAGTCATGTTTCAAGAGCTTCATGTCTTTCTTTGTTGATTCAAGGCCTATCACAAATGTTTTTAGCATTTTTGCTAGAGCAGTGGAGGGTTCTCCCGATGCTTCAGGAAAATCATTGCTAGCAAGCAATAGTTCCCTTCTGATCTGATTCTTCAGGATGAGCAGAACCCCATCTGATTTTGAGTGTAGGGTTGTGGCTCTTCATCACCTCATATGGTTGGGAGGTGGTTTGCCTTGCCCCTTGGAAAACCCTTGAATAGGATTTATTGGAGTCCCTTTGGGTTAAGTGTCTGCAAAATTTTGGGAATATTTTCATAATCATTGCTCACGATGATATAAACTTTTCTGAGTTCACATGTTTCTAAATATTAGATGTGAATGTCACGCCTGTATTCAAGCATATTTGGTTCCCAGGGTCTTTTTGTGGATTTGCGGACCTGCATATGAGGCTCTTTGGCTAAAGCACCTGAATTATGTGGTGCTTTTGTTGGTCATAGACTTTGAAGGCTATTTTTATGCATGATGCATCAGGATAAGCTAGGAATCAACCTTGACTTTATCATGCATGCATTTGAAGTAGTTAATTTGGCTCAGTGTTTGCAATCTCGGCCGGTCCAACTCGTCGGGCACTGGCCGATCCGGTTTTGGCCAGGTTTATTTATTTATTTTTATTTTTATTTTTTAGCACTTCTTTGACAGTCGGGATCTGCCCGGTTAGGTTGGTTGAACCGGCCGGTTTGCTGGTTACTTGGACCCGGTCCTTGGCCGGTTTGATTTTCCAACACTGATTTGGCTGTTGTTAAATTGTTTGTCTCCAAAATGATACTTCTTTTTTGTTGCCATTGTAGGAGTTAGCTTAGTAATAACTGTAATGCATGGTCCTGTTCTAGAATAGGAATTCATGGTCCTGTTCTAGAGTAGGAATTCATGTGGCTTGATCTTTTGAACTAGGCTAAATAAAGCTTCTCTTCCTATGACAGCAGGCCAATCTCTCAACATCAAGTAAGCTTACAATTGCCCAATTATTTTTCTTGCATTGGGTTTATCTTTCTAAGTTCTAATTTTTGTTAAAATTCTTGCAGGCATAGAGCCAATATAGCAAGTTGTGATCTGCAATATGCTGCACCAGTTAGCAAAACTAACACAAGTTAGTTGCCGTGCCCTCTATTAGGAACTATATTTTGGTTTAAAGTCCTCTTTAGGGGAAGAGCACCAGTTTTGCAGTCCAACTTTAATAAGAGGTTCTAGTTTGACTGGGAGTACAATTGAGGGTGTCAAGTTAAGGGTTCAGTTAAAAAGGGATTTGCATTGGGTTTTGTGTTTAGATTTTTGAATATTTTGCTTGTATTTCCTCGTTTGAACCGGAGGGTGCTAGGAGCGTGGTGTGTATGCTTCAACCCTTTTTTATTGCACTCAAATTATCAAGTCTTATTTGAGTTGTTTTCTATTGCTAGTTTGATTTGATCATGTACCCCTACCCACCAAAAACTCATGTTTTCGATTGGTTGGAAGGGCCTCACCATATGCAAGAGCTATTACAATTCCCATTCCCATTCCCTGTGTGATGTGTAAGAAGGTGGAGCAGACCATAATTCACTTCTTCTCCAGTGCTCGGTTGCAGCCTGCATCTGAGGTTTTGGGTGTGGGTGTCACCTGAGAAATGTCCAAATGCTCTTTTCAGGTTACTTTCCCCACCTTTCCCTGCTGCTAATCCTTTATGGTTTGCCGCCATGCTTGCTTCTATTTGGGCGATATGGCTGGAGTTATTTCCTGAATCTTTGAGAGCAATGAAATATCATTGAGTCCTTAAAAGGATAGGATATGTCCCGTTCTGTGCAAGAAACTGAAAGTTCTTTGGATGGTCTACACCTGATTCCGCACAACAGGGGGCCATCATCCTAATTACAATTTGTGGAGGCATCTTGACTTGGTGATCGCCTCCATCTTTTGGGGTCATCAAGCTAAATTTAATGGCTAATCTTTGAGCAACCCTGGCCTAGTAGGAGTGGGGAATATTTAGATCTTTTGCACCAGATCTCTTACTATTCCTCTCCAAATCCATTGGTTCAAAAAACGCAATAATGGCAGAGGCTACAGCTTTGCTGTGAGTTGTCAGATTGTTTGATGGCAGTTGGGGCTCAATTTTTGAAGGAGATTATATGAATGTCATTGGGTAGACTTCCCCTTTCCCTGGCACGTTGACCAACCATTCTACCAAAAGTTTCAGATTTGCAGCACCCTACAGGTTTCTGTTAAGCATGCTTGGCAAGAGGCAAATAAGGTCGAGAACACATTGGCAGGAGAAGGTGAAGCCGGCTGTGGTTTTGATGTGATCAGGCACCGGTCCACAGTTGTGTAGTGTATTGTACAAATTTTGTTCCAAAAATTTGAGTTTTGGAATGCTGAAAATGTGCGAAGAACCTTTTAAGTGTTTGGGCCATTCGGACTGCCCAAAAGGTAAAATAAAAACTAGGTGTTATGGGGTTCCACGAGTTAAAATGTAAAGAAATTCTGAAGTTTTGGACTTCAGCGCAAGGAGTAGAAATTTGGGTTCTCTTATATTTGGATTGGTACCCCACTAGTTTTGAGCTGACTCGATATTTTTAATACTTATTTGAAGAAAAGAAGGTGACAATCACTCTTGGATATTGGGCATGAATCAAGAGGTTAAAGTTATACTATTGATCATGCTTAAAGATCAACAAAACTTTCTTAAACTTTGTGGCACATCTACCCGTTTGATTTAACATGTCGTAGTTGGGAGTACTTGAGAACATGTAGTAGCACAGTAAACAGTGTTATGATGTAAAATCCCGAATTAAATATATGTATTTTTAATACAAACGGTTACTTAAACTTTATTTTTTTAAATCCCATAGCTATAAACAAGCATTACAAGACCTCTTAGGTGCCTTATCACCCAATATTCATGCGACAGTCATTTGTATCTTCAAAGAAACATGTCTCACGAATACATGTTCTTTCGACGTAGGTCTTTGTGCAACTTCTCTTTGGAATTCTACACCTTCCAAAACTTAATTATTTGGTCACTACAACGAATTGAGATGCTCTGACGAAATTCATGGTCTTTATTTTGAACATTGGAGTCGTAATAGCATTCCGGTATGTGCTGCATTTCGCTTCTGCCGAGCCAATTTCAAATAGCTTTTTAGCAGGGAATTATGTATGGAAACGTATCCGGATAAGCAAAATCGAAGGACGCTAGGATATACAGATCTGCCGAGCCAATTTCAAATAGCTTTTTAGCAGGGAATTATGTATGGAAACGTATCCGGATAAGCAAAATCGAATGGGTTGTTTCGGACGCTAGGATATACGGATCCTTTGTTTGCATATCTAGGATTTTTATGGCTAAAGGTCGTTTGTATGTATTTATGGGGAAAAAGTTTGTATAAAGGATGCAACCTTATAATGTAGAACTACGGATGCACCTCAAAAATCCATCGGAGAAGGTAGTTTTAATGTTGAAAAACCTTTTGATTAATCATCTCGAAATCTAGATGTATAACCATGAAAAATAAAAAGATTTTAAGTCTTAGGAATAGTGCATTTCACAACATATTATCTACACCGTCCATTTTCAAGATTTTCATACGTTTATAGATCTACTTCATTTTAACCATTTTTGAAATTTAAAATGTTATAATTAGATATAAAAATAGATTTTGAGATAATCCTATGAACATTTTATATCAAAATTATATACTATGATAAAATTTGAAGGTGCACCTTACCTCTACAGCTACAGATGCATCCATATGCCAACTGCACCCATTTCTGGGAGATCAGATATCCACATCCTCAAAACTTCTGCACCCATTTTTGGGATATCAGATATCCACATCCTCAAAACTTCTTAAATCTAGCATTTGCGTGTTCCAAAAAAAAATTAGATAGCAAAGGCAAGCGTTTGAGAAAGTGAGCTTTTGTATTAGGGCGTGCTTCTTTTTTGCATAGCCATTAAATGTCAAATTGAATGGCTTGAGGTGTGTCACAAGATTTGAGACTTTTTTTTTGAATTTTGAGTCTAGCCAATGGCACAATCAAAACCACTTTATTTAAAATCTGATGAACAATAATGATTGTAACCTCCTTATGTTGGAAGTTAATGGTATGATTGTATATTTTCTTTATTATAAGTTATAATATTCATAGTCATATTTAATATTTATTATCCATTATTATTATTATTATTATTATTAGTATTATTATTATTAATTTGAAATAACTAATATTAGTTTATAATAATATAATATAATTATATTAATATTAAAATATTGTGTATTCTATTATGATATATATTCATATTATAATATTATAATAAAAGAAATGATAATAAAATAATATAATATTTATGTATATTATTGTTAGTACTACTATTTAAAATATCTATCATTAGAATGGTGATCATTTAAGTATGGGAAAAGTTTATATAAAGCCGAGGCTCTAAACAATCAAATTAGAGCCTACGTCAAAAAATTTCACTAGAAGAGGTTTTTGATGCTCAAATATTCTCAAATTAATCATCGCGACATCAAGATGCATGGACCAGAGAAAAAAAAAATGGAGTTCATGCTTTGAAAATAGTGTATTTTGTAACGCATTTTTGGACTATAAATTTTTAAAATTTTCAAGATTTCATTGATATGTCGGTCTACACTATTTTTGAAGCTTTAAACTTTACAAATAAAAATAAAAATATATTTTAAGGCGATCACAAAGACTTTCAATATTTAAACCACATTTCTTGACACTATATGAAGGTAGGCTCTAATTTGATTGTTTAGAGCCTCCTCTATACAAACCGCACCCAGTAAGTATTTGATTAAAAATATATTTATTATAAATAACAATATTATGTGCAAAATATATTTTGATATACGATTTTGTTTGAATAAGCAATATGTTCAAAAATATTGGAGAGAGAGAGAGGGCGTGAATCAAAATTTGAATGAGTGAAGAGGGGATTTGTTATATACTAGGTTTATGAGAAGCTACCCAAATGTCAGTCTTCCTAAAATCATGTTTTACAAATACTAGAATTTGTATACCGCGTATATGATATATGGTGTGGTTTGTATAAAGCTGAGGCCCTAAATAATCAAAGCAGAGCGCATATTAAAATAGCATCGAAATACGTTATTTTAGTATTGAAAATCTTTGTGACGGCCTGAAAATTTATTTTCATATCTAATTATAGAATTCAAAGCTTCAAAAAATAGTGTAGACATGTAGATCTATAAACGCTTGATAATATTGAAAATTGATGTTTCAAAAAATGTTTTACAAGATGTACTATTTTTAAAACTTGAAATTCTTTTTTTTTCAAATGTTCATGCATGATTGATTTGGGGATTTTTAAGACTAAAAAAAGCCCATAATTGCAGGTAGATGTTGACGTGTCCTCAGAGGACATAGAATCGAACTCTATTCTTGGAATTACGAACTGATTTGAAGCTTTTTATCCCAAAAACACCTTTCTAGAAATGTTTTTTTATACTAGGAAGTGTCTTTCTAAAAGTTTAAAACTTCTTAATATTATTCAAGTTTCATGTTTGATAAAAAAATTGAACTTCAAATAAGATTTGAAGGAACTGTTTAAGTTCTAATCTTGTTTTAAAAAACAAGTTCCAACCCAAAGGTTCGAACTTAAACTTGGAACTTCTTTTTTATGAAACAACCCTCCCCCAATATATAAAATGTATATATTTCATTGTATTAAATATATATATATATATATATATATATATATATATATTATGAGTAATGATCCCTATGAGACCCCTCACACATCCATATGTGCAGGATCTCAAAGGAGCATCATAAATTTGGTACAGATCTCTAAAAAAGTTATCACATGGGTGTGAGACTTGACTTTTTAGAGATCTGTGCCAAATTTAATGGTGATCCTATAGAGTTCTACACACATGGATGTAGGAGGATCTCACAAGGTCATTTTCTATATATATTATATAATAATATTATATGTATATTATATAATAAAAATAAAGATTAATAAAATAATTCACTATATAATATATCTTATATAATACAAATATATAGCAATAAAATAAATATAAAATACACTATATTATATTTTACATTACGTTATGATATATATTTTACATTACGTTATGATATATATTTTACATTACGTTATGATATATGTATATATTTTATTGTATAATATATAATATACTTTTTTATATAATATATAATATATTTTATTATATATCATATTTTATTTATATAATAGATATTTATAATATCATATAATAAAAATATATATTAATAGAATAAATATAAGATAAAGTAAAGTCAGAAAAGGTACACCAAGGATAACAGCTTGACTTAATCCTTTAACCATGATAAAAGGAGTTGGAAAATAATGTCCGTTATTGTAGATCATAGTATTTGATAATGTATATTTAATATATAATCTACTACCATCAGCAGTGTTTAAAATTTGGGTTGTTTTATTAAAATATTTAGTAGGTACTAATCCTTCATTGAGACAGTTTAAATCTGCTCCAGAGTCTATTAAGGCTAAAGATTGGAAGTCATACTCATTATTGACTACGATTTTGACTAATACAAACCATTTTTGAGTGATCACTTTATTAAGTAAATTTAATAATGTAGTATTGTCTTCCTTTATTTTGACTCCTGAAGATCCAGGTTTGTTTTTTGAGAGGAAAAGAACGTGGGTCCGTGATAAATATATCCCACCATTTGATTTTAATAGTTTTCCCAAGACGGGGAATATATGTATAATTATTAGAATTATTTTCGAAAATAGCATACTCCCATTTGCAGATCCAAGGTATTTGATATATAGACATGAAATAAAGATGGTAGTCTATCAAATCTGTACATTTGTTATGTTCAGAGAATCTATTTTGGAAGGCTTGAAAAGTGTCTGACAGTATTTAAGTAGAAGATCCCCAAATAAGGATCCAATGGCGGAACCAGCTAGGAAATCTTTCAAGTATAGGCATTTTGAACGGTATATACCAAGAATGAGTATTATTAGGATTCTGGTATAAAAAGACTTTATGTCAGGTTTCAATATATTCAGCATACCGAAAATATTTATATTGGTATTCAGTATTTAATAATTTTTTTCCTTGAGTAGGGTTGTTACCCCAATCCTCATAGGTAAGTAATTTTTTGATCGGTAGCTTAGAGTAAGCATACAGATTTGTATTTCCTTGAAAGAAGTGAATAATCGAAACCAATCCTGTTTCCATTAAAACTGATTCATACCACTCACGGGTTTTGATACCAATGATCGGGTTTAAATGGTTTTGAAGATAAAGGGGAGCAAATTTTTGTGGGTCAATATGAATGTGTTTGTCATCTATGGTAATATCAGCTAGGAAAACATTATCTATGTAAGTAGATTTGGACACTGAGGAGGTTTGCTTATTTGGGTTTTGGGCTAGAGACAAAGCGGGACTTGGTGTATTATATTTTGGACTTTGAATAAAATATTCTGGTACATTGGTGGATCTTAGTGGAAACATTGGTTGTAATGGTAAAAAGTGTTGGCTGAGCATAGGAGGCTCATATGAATTAAAAGGAACTAAGTCCAGTGGGGCTTTTTGTTTCGATTTGTGAGATGTATTAGTATTCGTATTCATATTCATATTTAGATGAAAAAATTGTAATCCGTAAGGGAGTGGCTCTTCAGGTGGAAGAGGTGGTAATGTATTTTGCATAAATC